AGTCCTGACCCGGTTTAAACCCAGTCCTAAACCCAGTCCTGACCCGGTTTAAACCCGGTCCTAAACCCAGTCCTGACCCGGTTTAAACCCAGTCCTAAACCCAGTCCTGACCCGGTTTAAACCCGGTCCTAAACCCAGTCCTGACCCGGTTTAAACCCAGTCCTAAACCCAGTCCTGACCCGGTTTAAACCCGGTCCTAAACCCAGTCCTGACCCGGTTTAAACCCAGTCCTAAACCCAGTCCTGACCCGGTTTAAACCCGGTCCTAAACCCAGTCCTGACCCGGTTTAAACCCAGTCCTAAACCCAGTCCTGACCCGGTTTAAACCCAGTCCTGAGGACATATTATTGTTCTTTTTTTTTATTAAACAACAAAGAACACACAAAATAACACAATGTACAAACAATATTTCAAACAAACAAACAAACAAACTTACACATAAGAGAAAAGGATGGTGCAAATAAAGAAAAGAAGTTTAAAAAGAAGAAGGAACAAAAAAAGGTTAGGGTTTAGATGTTAAATTATATTTTTGTTCTTTTAATGAATGGTCTGATGACTTTAAAAACCTGCTTACAGTTTATTTTATTTATTCAGTTCATTAATCATATCAATAAGTTCATCGATGATCATCTGAAACACTTCCTGTTAGGAGACACGGTTACTTCCTGTCACTTCAAACAAACAAACAGAACAGTTAGTTGTGATGGTGAAGCAGCAGGTTCACAGAACCATGTTGGACCCTTCGTTGGTCATCAGGTTCTTCATGGACGACGTGGAGAAGAACGTCTTTACATCGACCCTGAACACTGGGACAGGTCTGTGGACAACACCAGTGTTCCAGAACCTCTGAGCTTCTCACACAAACCATCAGTGAACTGTACGATTACACAGATGGTAACAGATGAAGATGAGAAAAAAGAAAGAAAAACATTAAAAAACACTAAAGGACTGTTAATCTACATTATGAGCTATAAAACTGTGGAAAACAGGAAGAACAAAGAAGACTAAAACCAAAGGGAAAATACAAACCAGAAAAAACAGGAAACAAATGGATGGTGATTATAAAACATATCTGAAGGAACAGCTCAATCATCAAACAGCTGCAGGTACAAACACATCCACATAACAAATGTGGTGTGACATGTGAAATACCATGCTGTACATGTGAAACACACAGGAGAGACGGGACGGTCCGTGGCTACAAGAAAACAAGAACATCAAAAACAATGTGAGAAAGAAACAGAAGAAAGACTAAAACAAACCAAATAAGACCAGGCTTTGGAAGAAGACACAGTGTGAGCCATCAGGGAGCACCGCAAACAGGAAAATCATGTCATG